ATGACCTCGACCTGGACCGCTGGGAGGACATCGACTGCGCGCTGCCTTGGGCCTGGAGCGGCCTGCAGTGCGCGGTGCTGCAGCTGCCCGAGGGTGCTGACGAGGAGAGGGAGGGCGAGACTGGAGAGAATGGAGAGACTCCAGATGTCGTGTTGGGCTTAACGGGTTAGCGCGGTCTCAGATCCAAGGAGGAGAAAGTTGTGTCTGAGCACGTTTACAGAGCAACGAGTGGGCTTTTCCTAAGAATGGGACTCCGGGAACTGAGTGGCTTCTGAAGGTTAAGGGGGTAAATAAGTGTTTGGCCAAAGAGGAACATTTCCCTTTAAGCTGAGAAACGGAGACAGGAGGGGTCAAAATGAAGGACATGTGAACCAGCTTCAGTGAGCTAGTGATTTCTAGAAATTCTCATAATGCTGGGCCAGGGATGGGCTTTCGAAAATAAAATATGACCCTATTTTTCTTCTCATAGGTAAGTGTTTTCCTAGGTGCTAAACTGTGATTACATTTGTGCCAAATTGCCAAAAAAGGGTACTATAAGAAGGTATACACAAGACCCAGAAAATCATTAATTATAAAGGCTGTAATAAATAGTCCAAGAAAATGGCATTATCTGAATAAACAGTGAAGGAAAAGTGCCTTTGTTAAATGAGGAGAAATATGATTTTATGGTCTAGAACCCTGGTTCTGCTCTAGTTTAATATAAATATGGAACTGAGAGGGAAAAATGATCTCTACGAAAGCACCTTTTATTTATTTATTTTTATAAAAATAACCTGGCTTACTTTTTTTCTGTCCTTCATCCTTACTTACCCTTTACCTGCTTTTGTGCTGAGTTTAGGCAGTTTATTGCTTTTAAGTTTTATTTCAGCAACACTTAGCCATAATAATCAGGCTCCTTTGGTTAAGTGGGACATCAACAGAAACAAAACTTTATTTCTTTCATCCTTTTTAAATGTTCATTCTGAAGACATGCTGTAGGTTATATTTTAAAAATACAATTTATTTTTGTGCCCCCCTCCTAATTTCCCCAGAGTATCACAGAGAAAGAAAGGAGTCGGTGAAATGGTCAGTTTGCATCAAGGAAATGGGAAACCAGCTTGATTTTACAGGGGTTCAGAGAAGATGCTTATATACTGAACAGATACTTCTGGCTTGTTTCACCAGTGGAGTGGCAAAGTTAGAACTCATAACTGGGGAGGGGGGGGCGAAGGAGTTGGGGGAAAGGAGGGATGGTGGCTGTATGATTTGCAAGACAAAGAAATATGGTGAGGACTCTCTGAATAAAGTAGGTGCCTTATAAGGATTCATTAAGAGCTGAATTTATTTGACTTCAGTTTACAGTGCTGCCTCTCTCCTAGATTTGAAACTAATGCAATAAAATGTACAGATATATAGTGTTAAAAGGTCTCTTTCATGCTAGGCTAGCCACAAGTCTTTTAAAATTCATTAGTTTAATTGTACCATTTAAAACAACAGAGCTGACTTTACATAAGGAAAAGCTGCTTAGTAGCAACACAGCTAGTCTCTTCATCAACTGCTTGCTGTTTACAGGGCACAGCCTGTCCACTGTATTCATGACACATCCATCAGATACAGATATTTTTAAGTGAATGTACACATTTAGTCTAGTAAACAACAAGTCTAAATACCTGTAACAAGCACACTTCATTTTAGGACAAGAGGTTTTTTTGTTTGTTTTTTTACATATACAAAATCCCACAAATTTAATATGTGTCAATATCCATGCAGTAAATAAATGTTTTTACAAATAGGTTTTTTAAATGATAAAAATATTACACTGGACCCAAAATTCCATACAAACATGAATACATGATTTCTCATCCATTTTTGACTAAATAGAGGATTACTGAAAATGTGCTGTAGAAAGGCCACTTTCCTGTACAGTTGTGCAAAGTCTGCAAAACGATAGTGATTCAATGGTGGTTTCAAAAGCAAAGAAAAAGATCCCCGCTGTGGAGTTTTTACTTTCTCCTCTACAGCAAAAATATTCACTGGCATACATCTGAACTCTTAGTGATGAAAGTACATTCACTGAGCTGGACAGGCAACAGTATAAAGCTGATTAGAAGTAGAGTTTAGGATATAGAATAGTAAAGGAGGTTTCCTTCCTCCCGAAAAAACAGCAAATTGTGACTTGTACGTTATGCAGCCAGACACTAAAAAGCAGCACAGTCATTGTCATGCTGGGATCACTTTTAAAAAACGAGATGCTCATAAGTGGAAATATATGAAGAGGACGTTTTCATAGACTTCATCCACTTTAAAGAACAATTCACGAAGCCAGGAAAAAGCTCTATAAATTGTTTCTCTCACATAATGCAATGTAAAAGAACTCTGAATGGCCATCATCCTCTTGCTCCTCAGGAGAGAGGTACATTTTTATTTTGCAACATTGTTTTCTATATTATAACACACATCAACCTGTAATTAAACATATTTCATTTCCCTGCCTGAAGTATAATTCTGTAAGTTTAATTAATGGACTAGTGGGAAAATTGCAAACTAACTGGATAGTTGATTCATTTCAGTTTATACCTTGTAGCTTTTTTAAGAGTTGCAGTTTAAAAACACGAGTTTGGGCTGAAATTTTATATATATATATACCTGTTAGCTGCCTTTCTGGGTGAGTTAAGTGTGTTTTAAAAAATCCACTCTCAAATTCCTCTGTACACAATCAGCATATCATCACTACAAAAATAAAGGAAGATTTAAACCAAGAAAATAAAGCAGCTCTATCTTCAATTTTGGTCTTTGTTACAAAAACATCTTACAAAGCTTTGCCCTGATACACCGTTAAGTGTCCCCATATATTTGGAATAGTATTCCCATTAACCAGCTTTCACAAGTTAATAGACTATTAAGACGAATATTAGATACCTGAACTTTTCTTATGTTGATGCTCTTCTATTTTGCTTAACTCTTTTAGGCGCATCTACATTTCACAAAAATAAAACTACAGCTTACTTTGTGCAATGTTTAAGAAAATCCTCAGAACATTTTAATAAATATAAAAAAGGTTTAAATTCTTTCCCACCCGCAAGGATGTCTGCACCTGAAAAAATGTGGATTTCATTTTGAAGTCTTCTTTATATAAAATTAACTTAAAGGGAGAAAAGATGACCTTAGATAGAAAACTGCCATTTTGTATTTTTCTACTTGAGACCACCTGTCTTCAGAATAGTCTGCAAAAGTTCATTTTAAATCATTGAAGACAGTTGTTTTTGCACATGGTAAACATAAGCTGAGCACTAATTGCATATAAAATATACAAATGCTCATTAAAGACTGGTATTATGACCATATATGGTTTGTTTCATATAGTTTGGTAACACTGAAGTATAGCTTGTCAAGTGTCCCACACACTGACATAAAAACTACCTTATATACTTGTTCAAAGTACCAGAAGGTACCAGATGGACTGAAGACAGAATACACTTACACATGCGTTTCAATGTATGAATGAGTGTGTGTGAGAGAGGAAGTGATTACATCTACTTCAGAAGAAATACTTAATGGGTCATTTGAGGTGGTGTTTTGACAGATATCCAAGAAAAGATCGAGGTACATCTGCTTCCACTGTTGGAATTCTTTAGATGTCAAGTCTGGATTGTCTAGGACTTTATCAATAATGGCCACTTCCCCTTCTCTGGCCTGAAAAGCAAAATGATTCAATAGTTAAGATGTGGACAAACTTATGTTCAAGTTTAAGATAACAAGTTAATAGGCAAAAAATTAAAAAGCCCATAAGAAATGGCTCTGGTATATCCAAACTCAGCTATTTAGATTAAAATTCTAGTGTACTGTTTCTACCCCCAAGGTATGCCTTGTATTGCTTATTCTCTGTGGTTTATTTTTTTCTCATTTATCATCTCTACATACAGAAAACTTCCTCATTCTTTAAGATCCAGTTCACATGCCTCTAGTTTCCTAAAGCCTTCCTTCAACAGTTGGAAAAAATGTTCTCTCCCTCATTGATGCCCCCATAACACTTTATCACTGCCACTGAGTGGACTTACCACATTTTGTTTCGAGTTACTTTTACACTGGCCTTTCTCTCCTGCTAGGTGGTCAGTACCTATCTTTTATACGTCCAAGGAAGGGGCAGAGAAATCTAGGGAATGTTTTGCAAGAAGTGGGAAGGCACACTTCTGGACTAGCCAGACTTGAGAGGGAAAGACAACCACAACTAAGCAGTTGTTCTGGTCCTTGGGGCCAGACAGAGACAGGAGGGCTCTGACCAAGGATGCTTTGTGTCACCCTGTGCTTGGTGAGGGGCCTATTACAATTTCAGGAACCACATACCCAGGGTTGTTTGGGCAGTCATCTTTCTCTAATGGGAGATTTCCATTTTCTGTTCATTTCCCACACTGAAAAGTATAGGGCTCTATAGTTTTTGTTTGTTTGTTTTGTTTTTACCAATGAGGGGCATTTCTTTTCTTTTATAACAATTAAATTTATTGGAGTGACATTGGTTAATAAGATCATATAGGTTTCATGAGTACAATTCTATAATATATCATCTGTATATTGCGTTGTGTTCCCACCACCCAAAGTCAAATCATCTTCAGAGGGGCATTTATATACAGTGTCTTTTTTTTTTATCATCTTTCTTTGCCCCAGAGAGTAGAGCACAGCATCACATAGCTGGTGACTCATCAATACTCACTGAATGGAAAAAACTCTTTTGTTTTTGGCGGGGTGTGTGTGTGTGTGTGTGTGTGTGTGTGTGTGTGTAAGCTACAGAGCATGAAAGACAGGGGTGAGGGGCTGAGAGAAAGAGGGACAGGAGCAGGTCTCTAAGATATGTGAGCCTGACCTGCTTCCAAGTTCCTGCCTAGTGTTCTGACCAGGCAGTTAACTAGTAGATCTGAACATAGGGTGAGGGGTGGAGGGTGGGCCTGTTAGGTGAGAAGGTAAAGATATCTTTGGAGTAGGATTGGTCACGAGAATTATTCTTACAATATTATAGCTCTTTTTTAAAATCTGTAATAACGTCAACAATAAAAAACTTTAAAAAATTGGTCTTAGTTACCAAAGGCCATTAGGTTGTCCCATGGATTTGCAATAGCATTTGCATGAATGCCAGTGGAAAGATAATTGATTGAAAACTTGACTGCCTGTGACAGGAAATGTTTTCAAATAATGCATTTTCTATTTTATCTTTTTGTTATTCATTTATGTTTCAAAATCACAAAACCTCAGCAACGTACTATTTATCTGAAATATTTCCCAAAGGAGTCCTTTTGCTCTGTAGGATAGTTCCCCCTCCCTGTTTTTGATTTTCAAGGGTGCAGGGCCTGTTTACACACACTGAGAGTGAGTGTTTACTTTTTTGCCTCCTTGGATTTCCTGCCTCTCTGCTCCCCTCTCCTCCCCTCCTCCTCCCCGTTTGGTGGGTGGCATAATAACAAGACCAGAGACAATGTAAGAACTTGTGGAAATGTATGCTAGGAAAATAACGTGCGAATTGGGAATTGA